GATTCAGTCCGCACAAAGCAGTGGGGACTAACAGAAACCGAGGGGTGTGCAGGGAACACATCAGCGGTGCAAGCTTGGGCAAGTTCCCGAGAGACCCAGTAGTAATTTTCTTGCGTGAACCAGAAGACGGGTGAACCGGCAAATTTGCGGTGCTGGGGCTGAGCCTCCAGCCCTGGCTTGGCTGTCACCAGGCACAGCGGGCAAGCATCTCGGGATCGTGCTGCGTCTGCTCGGGTGCAAACACGCGCTGCTTTTGTTCCCACAGGTCCTGCTGCGGGTCAAAGAATCGGAAATCCAGTACCTGAAGCAGGAGATCAGCTCCCTCAAAGACGAGCTGCAGACGGCACTGAGGGTAATGCCCAGGGACATTTCTGCAAGTCCTCTTACAGGTTGTGCTCTGCTCCTGTGTGTGCGCGCTTAGATTTCAGCTCACTTATTCCAAGATCTGAAACAATATTTAATTTTTCACCTGAATAGAATTGAATACCCATTTTGGTGTCATCAGTAAAGCGCTCCACAACTGTATCAGCTCAGGAGTTACCCCTTCTCCCTTCTAGTGGGAAAACATCCCCTTCAGTGTTTTTCCCTGTTCGCTGTCACATCGGATCAGATTTGAAATGGCAAAAGTAATCAGTGTTAGAGATCTGCCCAGCCTCCCAGCATCGGATCTGGTTTGCTCTGGACGGCCTCTTTGCCAAGTCTACTTCTGGGAAGTCTGCTTCAATTCCGTGTCTTTGCTAAAATTAAAACCCACAAACAAGTAATTCTGTAATGAAGGGGCTGCGTGCACGGGCAGCCGCTGGGCTCACAGCTTTCTGCCTATCTCAAGTCCCGTACTGCTGGTAAAAGCGGCTTCGTGTGTGAAATGCGTGCGTTGTCCCGGCCGAGCGTTTCTCCTCGCTGCCAGCTCTTCTTCCGTCGGCATTTGCCAAGCTCCTCCTCAGTGCATTCACAACCCCCTTGGCTCCAGCTGTATGTCTGACTCCGTTGGGTTGTTCTTGTTCCTTTTGACAGGATAAGAAATACGCCAGCGACAAGTACAAAGACATCTACACGGAGCTGAGCATCGTGAAGGCCAAGGCAGACTGTGATATCAGCAGGTTGAAAGAGCAGCTGAAAGCAGCCACAGAAGCTCAGGGAGAGAAATCCCCTGTGAACACCACTGTATCGGGATACGGTCAGTCCTCCTCCAGCCACTCAATTTCCCGAGCTAACACGTGCATCCTGGCACACAAGCCCTTGTGCAGTAGCGGGTCTGAGGGGTGCTTTTTTGCCGTTTCATGCTGCTTCCCACCTCTGCTCCTTGCGGACAGTCTCACCGGAGATGGCAGGGACCAGGCAGACCTGAATTGCCTTCCCGTGGCAGTTCCCCCTTCCGGCCCCGCGGATGGGAAGCCGGTGGGCTTTGAAAGCCGCCTGGCATTTTACATTGGGAAAACCTCGTGCTACAAGCAGTGCAGGGGAGCGGAGACCCCCGAGAGTCCCCTCTGCCCTTGCGGCAGCGCTGCTTGAGTCGGGCTCATCGGGGCACCTGCCCGGGCTGGGAGGGCAGAAGAGCCCCAGTCCTGCTCCGTGCAGGAAGCCTGTGGGCACAACGCTAACGCTATTTTCTTTTACTTCTCCCCAGATATTATGAAATCAAAAAGCAACCCTGATTTCTTGAAGAAAGACAGATCCAGTGTTAGCCGGCAACTAAGGAATATCAGGTCAAAGGTGAGCTCAGATCTCCTTCCCCGTGTGATGAAAATGCCCAGCGTTACTCTCCGGTGGGGGTCCCAGGTGGGAAGAAACCGGTAGGGGAAGAAAACTGAGAATTTCCCAGTCAGTAGCGCTAGACTGGATGGCACTGGGGAGAAAAGCCAGCTTCTGACTATGGAACGGCCGACTGTGCAGCCAGGCAGGGCCCGCTCCCCCCCGCGATGCCCAGCAGGGCACACACACTCCTGACCCTGCTGAGATCGAGACGTGAAGCAGCTCCCCGCTTGAAAAAAAGGATGAAGTTCACCCGGTTCTTGGGTCTTTCACAGGAGGACTCTCCCAGTATTTGCTCCCCGTTTTCAGTTGAAATTTAGGTCGTGTCAGTAGGTGGAAATGTGCACATCATTTTAGTGTTCATACACATACAGTGTTCATCACTGCAAGATTTTTGGTCTTTGTATGGACCAACGATGCCTTGGGCCTGGGTATATTTAAGACACGCTTTGCTTGTGTGTTAACCCGGTGCAGGTGGCCCTGTGTTTCTCTGGCTGTTCTGTACTTGCTGTTGGTCCCAAAGCCCAGTGATGCCGGGTCAAGCTCGCCTGCTTGGCCTGCTGACAGAGTTACATCATGTTGCACACTGGCTGTTGCTGTGGGACCACGGGGATAAAAAGGGCAAATAAAGCCGCTGAGAAGCCATCGTTAAACATAAGTCAGTTGGAAAGCAAATCAGCATGAGCAAAACTCGCTTTGCCTCTCACCGCTGGATACCTGGTGTCTCATGCTGATGTTTGAAGTGGTTGGGACCTTGGGCAGAGCAAGAAGCCGGGCAGGCAAAAGGCTTCTAGCTCCATGCCCATGCTGGGGAAACGGTCACCACCCGAGCTCTGCGAGCGGCAGGTCGTCAGCTTGGGGTGTCTGCGCTGCGCCGAGTAAATACAGAGAAGCATCTCTGCGCATCTCGGGGGCAGCCCAGACCTGCTGGGCTGGGTCTGATGTTGGGTTTCCCTTCACCACTTCAACCCAGACCCCCTTACCTTATGGTCCCCCGTGTGCGTTGCTTGGTGGGGGAAGGAGGAGAGGAGAGCAAGCATGGGCTCTGCCTGGGCACGTTGCCTGCTCGCATCGCTGCCGGGGCTGGGGGGGGGGCTGGGGCTGTGCGAACGCCAATGCGTTTGGATTTATGAGCTTCTTGTTTTGTTTTGTTTTCTTTATTTTGCTTCAACAGTCCGTTATTGAGCAGGTCTCATGGGATAACTGAAATGAACCCGAGTCCAGGTTCCCTGCCACGTAGGTAAACAAACCGGCACCCACCAAGCGACGCAGCTGCCCACTGGAGCGGCCCACTTTTGCATGCACTGCTCACACCTCCATGGCAAACGAGAGCCCTTCTTCTCTTAATGGCTGACTGGTTTATTTACGGCTAATTATTTTACTGGGGGAGGGAGAAGGGGAGGGGAGAAGTCAGCAGACCCAAGATCCGTATGAAATGCAGTCTCTCTGGCTCTTCCCTGGGGAATATGGCTTTCTCGTCTTCCTGCTCCTCCCACCCTCGCCAACACAGCTAACCATCACAGAGAGGATTTGGACACGGTGGGGCACGTTTTCCTGTTTGCTGTGTTGGGAGCGCGGGACATCGAATGTGCATGCTTGAATGACTCTGCATGCCTCAGACTAAACTTCAGCAACATCCAGGTCTTGTAGGAAAAATAGCCATTTTGCTGTTAGCCGGGCAGAGGAGTGGGTCAGTGATGCCTATAAACGCATTTCCCACAAAGGCCTGTAGCATGTAAAATGGTGGCCCCCATTTCAGCTGCAGAGGATATGTCCAGGACTGCCCTAAATTTCCTTTACCCGTAATTGCTGCTTCTTTAGGTTGATCTGTGTCTGAGCATAAGCGTCCTCCTTGCCCGGTAACTGCCTCCTGCCCTCCAGGCTTCCTCCAGCTCCCCGGTGTCCACCCCGCTGCTCCCTCCCTTGGCACTGCGCCTCCGTCCCACGTGCTGACCTGAGGCTTCCGGGCTTATCCAGCAAAAGGAGGGAGCTGATGAGAAACGAGGCCGATCCTAATGACCCAAATATCTCAACTAACTGGAGCGATAGTTAATTTACTGGCCCATGGTAAAGACTGAGCTTAGAGCACCTGCAAAGGGAGGTTAGAGAAAAGAGGGGAGCTCCCCAGCACGGTGGCAGAGGGGTGGCTGGAGAGCCCCAGGAAGTCTGATGGAGGATCCCTTTGTCACAGATTTCATCCTGCATTAGCCTCCCTTCATCAGGCTCCCTTCATCGGCAACTCAAATGGGTTGTGAGCCTGCCTGAGGGGTGAATTTGCTGGAATTTGTACCATCAGGCAGAAGAGTCTAATAGTTTCTATTGTCTCCTTCCATCTAATGAGAAGTCAGATGTACAAGCTGGAATGCATGGGTTGCTGCCTATTTAAAGAGGCCCAAAGTAAACTTCCTTTAGGAAGTGTGCGCTCAGAGACTCGCATCCCAAGAGAGACTGCTGCCCGTTGAAAAGAAAGCATACGGCATTTGTAAATTCAAACCAATCCCTTTTAGTGCTTTCATTTCTGTGCTGCTTCCCAAAGCCTGTGGGAGGAGAAACATTTAAAGAAATACAGTAACCATGGGAATCTGCACAGCCTTGGGGCAAGTTTATCATGGAGTCCTGCCTTGGTAAACACACGTTAAAGAAAACCCAGCCCAAAAGTCTAACCTGCTGCTGTGATTGTACAGTCCTCTGGCACCACGGTCAGGGAAGTAAAAGCAAAAGGGGAGATGGCTGCCCGTTAATAGAAGGGGCTTTGCGTACAGGTCTGTGCCTTTTGAAGCTGCCACGTCTTGATCTGTAAGGCAAATAATGTTCCAGCTGCAGAGTAAATTCCTTGCAGGTTGCGAGGAGTCGGCTTGCAGGCAGCGGTTACCTGCGGGGTGCATGCAGGCAGCTGGCTGCCTGTCCCAGGTACAGCCCAGCAGTGAAAGCCTTGACAGCGTGTAGGGGCCGAGCCATTGCTCTGTGGGCTTGGCGGTTGGTTAGGGAGAAGTCTGTGCCTCCTCAGCAGCAGCAAGCAGGGAAAACTCACTGGTGCTCTGCTCCCCTGAAGCTCTTATGCCACAGTTTCGGGGCTGCAGGAAGGAGGGAAGGCTGGCTTTAGGCTTGTGCATCTCCTCGGGCTAGTTTCAGGTTAAGAACTTACAGGTGGCAAACGATTTGCTTCTGGGTTTCTACCCCTCACATTGCTGTTTTCCTGGGTCCCCACATAGGCAAGAGTGGAATTCACAAATCGACATGCTGAGGGCTAGCGGGGCAGGCTTTTCTGTTGGCCAGCTGAGTGTCATGCCTTTAAATCTGGATGCTGCATCTGAATTGGATCAGCCATCAGATCCTGCTAGAGCTGAAGCAAGCATTTAGCGAGTCCTCTGTCTAACCCTGTGCAGTAGAGGCAGCTTTGGCTTGGGAGAGCCCCCAGGCTGGGGTTAGAGAAAGGGTGGGATTGTCGCTGGCAACAAAAACGCAGTTTCCAGGGCTGCTTGAGCAAAGCCTGCACATTGACCGGAGCCAGGACTGTCCCAGACGGACGCATGTTCAGTTGGTGCTGCAGTGGCGTGGGCAGGCGGGGAGGACCGGCGTGCGGGTCCTGCTCAGCAGCGCAGTGCTTTAGCGTAGCAGATCCGAGCTGGCCTGCCCGGGGTTCCCGCAGTGCCGGAGCTCTGCTGAAATTGCCCCAGCCACCGCTGCCTCGCAGGCTCCGGGGGGGTCGTTTTCCGAGTCGAGTTAATCCTGCTTGCAGCATGGTGTGCCTCTCATTCGCTTCTGGTACGTCGCCTGGTTAATTTGCAATCTCACCCTCTCTCTAGGCGCCATTCACCAGTAACCGCCCTCCATAACCGTGCGTTCTCTCTTAGCATGTCCCACTAATCTCTCCGCCAAGGAGGCCATTCTCCCGCTGCCCACGTCTCCTTTGCCTGAGCATCGCACCTTTCCTGTGTGCCAGATGCCCGCCGCCGCTGCCTCCCACCCGTGTCCGACGCTGTCTGTCTTTTCTCTCTCCCAGAGTCTGAAGGAAGGCCTGACTGTGCAAGAACGCCTGAAGCTTTTTGAATCCAGGGACTTGAAGAAAGACTAGTTCTCCCCGCTCCGCTTGACCACGCGCACCTCCCAGCTTGAGGCAGCACAGCATCAGCAC